GATTAGACTAACCGTTTGTTGCGGTGATGGATATCACAATCAACGTTGAAGCTGTCCGTTCGATGTTGAAGATGACCTGCATGGCAGCAACAGCACACTTGTATACACAGACATGACGCAGATAAGAACGTCCATCTGTGCATGGGGGGGGGGGGGGGGGGGTGGGGGGGGGGGGGGGGGTGTGTGTGTGTGTGAGAGAGAGAGAGAGAGAGAGAGAGAGAGAGAGAGAGAGAGAGAGAGAGAGAGAGAGAGAACGAGATGGAGACCGCTGGACTGGCATGCAAATACGACGACCAATTATTGGGGAATACAAGATGTCATCCCCTTGGGCGATTGGCTGGACACAGTGGACATGGATAACTCTCTCTCTCTCTCTCACACACACACACACACACACACACACGCACACACACACACACGGAATCAGAGGTCGGGACGCAGCGCAAGCCACTCGCGATGGCAAACATCGTCCTCCGTCAGTCATCCCAGGTGAGTACTACCACCGCCCTCCTATCCGCAGTACAGGTAACGGGCGAACTTATACCCATGACCTCACAGGCACATTTGCAAAAATAGACAAAGACAAAAAAAAAACAGGCCTCGCATACTGCAACCAACCATGGGGACCCCACCCTAATCTTTGTCCGTTGGACGGTTGGTAGCAGACGCGGACTGACTCGAAGTGGAAACGTTACAGGTTCCCAAAAAACACAAAAAAAGAATCAATCCGAAAGGTAACACGGGACACAGGCTCGGCAAAATCAGCGTGAACTATAAGGGTCTCGCTGCACTGCTGTAGACTCATGAAAAATTTCTACAGTTGTTCTAGAGATGTCAGAGTCAAAAAAAGTCCTAAAATCTACGCAACGCAGCACTAGCTCTAGACTCTAGAAAATCTAGAGTTGCTCTGTCACTTCCTGAGTTCGGCTATTTCACTACAGGACAGCTCCAGCCTGGGTTGTTCTCCCAGACTCAAGGACAACTCAAGGAAAACCAATCGTTTCAAGGTGTCCTCCGGAACTCCCTTAAAAGACCGCCTTTGCAGGCTGGTACGCTACATCCATCTAGATTCTAGAGTGAGACGGACCCACCCACTCTGACAGCTCAAGAAATGAAAAATATAGAGTGAACTTGACTCTATTACTTTTCTAGAGTCGTTCTTACAGCTCTAGAACAGGTTTTCGAGTGCCCATTTCTTGAGTAAGTGCAGCCATGCGGCGCTCAAGAAAAAGGTTGAATCTAGAGTAGTGAAGCGAACCCCTAATTCACGTTCTTCACAAACAGGCCTGGAGGTGCTAGTGGTTTAAAAGCACACTGTGGGATCCAAGCCAATGGGCCTCGCTGCACAAATCTAGATTCAAGCTTTTTCTTGAGTGCGGCATGGCTGCACTTACTCTATAAATGGGCGCTTGAAAACCTGTTCTCTACCTGTCAGAATGACTCTAGAAAAGTAATACTAGACTCTTCATCGCTTCGCTACTATACTTACTCGATAAGTTCGCTCTAGATTTTTCATTTCTAGACCTCTAGATTTTTCATTTCTAGAGCTGTCAGAGTGGGTCGGTCCTTCTCACTCTAGATTTATCTAGAGCACAACCCTGCAAGGGCCATTTTTTCAAGGGAGGTCCAGAGGACCCTTGACATGCCTTGGTTTTCGTAGAGTGGGCCTTGAGTCTGGACTGACAACCCAGGCTGGCGCTGTCCTGTAGTGAATAGGCCGAACTCAGAAAGTGACGGAGCAACTCTAGCTTTTCTAGAGTCTAGAGCTAGTGCAGAGATGCCTAGGTTTTAGGACTTTTCGTGACTCTGACAGCTCTAGAAGACTAGAACAACTCTATAATTTTTTCGCCAGTCTAGAGTAGTGCAGCCGCTGCAGCGAGCTCCAATACATAGGCGGCAGGCCGCTATGTTAGACTTGTTTTTTTTTTGGTTTTTGTTTTTGTTTTGAGCTATGTTCTTCTCTCAATTTCACCTCACACTACCTACCTAACTGAAAGCCCTTACCATATCCCTCTATCCTGGCGGTGGTACGAGAACCGTCAGAATTGAGGGCTTACCTGTCGGGCTGCTCCATCTATTAGTGGGGAGCGGCACCTGCTGGAAACCGGGTCCAGGGTCCCATCAGAACATCGTATGGCACCGAGACTGCGGTTCTTTACTGTTTCATCCTGGGGCTCCAGCATCCCTTGGAGCTGGAAGTGACACCCTTCCCATTTCAAGGAGCTCCCCATTATCTATCGACCCAGTCTTTATCTCAGCAGCCCCCTATGTACCCAATGCACTCTTTTATATCCTATTCCCTCATGCCATTCAAACTGAGCGTTTGCATGTCTAGGAGCACTTTCTCCTTTTATCTCCTTTGCGTGCCTTGCAGTGCGGTGGAGCACTTCACTCCCATCCCCTGTTCTGGGAGGCCGGCAACCACCAACTCGTCATCTGTTCAGGTGATGAATTGTTTTCTCAGGCTGGCTGGCCGCCATTCAGGCAGGTTGGGATACGGGGTGGGGAGGGGGATGGCAGGGCCGGGAGGGGGGATACGGGGGGGGGGAAGGTGTAGGCCATGGAGGGATCATGGGAGTCAAGGGATGAGGCGTAGGGGTCCCCGGGGGCGAGGCTGAGGGTGGGGAAGGCGGCGGTGACGGAATCGGGGGAGGAGGACCGGACGGGAGAGGAGGGGACCACGCTGGCAATGGACGAGAGCTATGAAACCGTATGAGCACGCGTAAGCGCGAGAGCGCGCGCTTTAAGCGCTTAAAAAAAAAAAAAAAAAAAAAAAAAAAAAACGAAAAAAACAAAAAACAACAACGTCTGCGCCTCAGGGGTTGCGCGAGTGCAGGGGATGCCGTAGGGAGGGTTGCATGGGAAAAAAAATAGGGGGGTGGGGAGGGAGGTTGGTTGGTTGGGGGGTTGGGGGGGTGCGGGGGTGACGGGTTCGCACGTGTGTGTGTGTGTGCATGTGTGTGTGTGTGCACTTGTGTGTTTGTGTTTGCGTTTGTGTTTATGTGTATGTGTATACGTGTGAGTGGGTGTGTGTGTGTGTGTGTGTGTGTGTGTGTGTGTGTGTTTGTGGGGGGGGGATGTCTATGTGTGTGTGTGTGT